ACACAAATAATCTATGGCAGTAAAGAACGGGAGCTATCTTTCCAAGTCCTCTTACTAACACAGCATTGGAAGTTCCAACTCAAGCCTGGTCAAAGTGCACAGACATCTGCCAGACACAACTGGGACAGCTATGTTACATCTCCCTCCTCCCACCCTGACCCCTAAGGCTCAGGTGAAAGAGGGAGCAGAAAGATCCTAAGAGCCAGAGGATGGGGAGGGCTGGAGGGAAACAGCATCTTCTGGACTTGACAGGACCACTGCACTCCTGACCCCACAGCAGCTGGGGTTCTCCTCACAAGGGCAAGCCAGTCTACATGCCAGCATGGAGGGAGGAAGGGCTCACGAGCCCCCACCCATAACTGGAGCTATGGACAGTTGATAATTCAGGAGGTGGGGGTTGTTTTTCTCTACAGATGTGGACCCTGGTAGGTCAACTATATTCTGACAGTCCCACACCAGGGGTATATGGACAGCACAAATTAGACTGGATGAGTTATTTTTTAAAAAATGAGTTAGCAGGGACCTGGGAGGAGTTGGGGTGAATAAGATTATATACGTTACATAAAACTCTCAAATTGGGGCTGGAGAGCTGGCTCAATGGTTAAGAGCACTGGTTGCTCTTGCAGAGGACTCTGGTTCAGTTCCCAGCACCAGATGGTGGTTAACAGGTAACTCCAGTTCCAGGGGATCTGACACCCTCTTCTGGCCTCTATGGACAATGCATGCACATGGTGCACTTATATTCATAAAATAAAAATATTAAAAAAGCACCAACTAGCCAGGCGTGGTGGTGCACGCCTTTAATCCCAGCACTTGGGAGGCAGAGTCAGACGGATCTCTGTGAGTTCTAGGACAGCTGGGGCTACAGGGAGACTTCTGCATAAATTCCATTTCTAGAATATTCTTTGTGTGTGGATATGTGGTACATGCATGTGCATTCATTTGTGTGTGCATATGCAGAGGTCAGGGAAAGCTAGCTAATGCCTTCCTCTATTCTTTGCCTGACTGCCTTAAGACAGTCTTTCACTGAACCAGAAGTCTATCGTCAGCTCTTGGGATCTGTCTCCATGCACCCCCGCCCCCCAACACACACAAACAGTGCTGGGGTTATAAGCATGTGTAGCCACTCTGGGTTTTTTATGTGTGTGCTGGGGATTTGAACTCAGATCCTCATGCTTGCAAAGCAAGTACTCTTACCCAATGACTCATCTTCTCAGTTCCCAGGCAATATTCTTGAAATGACAAAATTATATAATTGGGAGAACCAACTGGTCATTTCGAGGGACAGGGAGGTGAGGAGCGAGGGAGTGCCTGACAGAAATGTTTTGTTTCTGGACTGCAATGGCTGTTAAGAATGTTTTGGAGCTTTACAAGACTGCCCCTGAGGGAAAGTAATAAAGGCGATGACACCTCTGCATTGTTTTCCCAGTGCTTAGGACCCTGTGATGCTCTCAACAGTTAAAGAGTAACTAAAGGGGGACAGAAGAGGAGCGCTTGCCTGTCATGTACAGGTCTGATCACTAGTACTGCCAGTGGGAGGTGGGGGATGGGGTGAACAATCCTACCAGGTTAGGCTTTTAGCTCTGGGATTGCTAATTAACAGGCTGACTATGAGTAGATTTTAAACTTGCCCTCAATTTCCTCATTGCTAAAGAAAATTAAATGCAATTTATGGAAGCACATGATATAATATGCACAGCACATGGTGCTTTTAAAAATTACATGTATTTGTGTGTATGTGCATGCATACATGCTATAGTTCATGTGTGGAGGTCAGAGGGCAACTTGGAGTTTGTTCTCTCCTTTCACCTTCATGGCTCTGGGCACTGAACTGGATCCTCAGGTTTGGCAGCAAGCACTCTTACCTGCTAAGCCATCTTGCTGGCCTGAATAGTGCTTTTAAAAAGAGCTTCTTAGCACTTAATCTCTATGTAAATATTATTCTAAACAGTATCATTCAGATGCTCACAGCTAATTCTTGAACTGGGTAGAGTAATGTACACCTGTAATCCCAGCACATGGGAGGCTGAGGCAGGAGGGTCACAGCAAGTTTGAGGGTCAGCTTGGGCTATGTAGTGAGTTCAGGCCAGCCAGGGATATATAGAAAGACTCTGTCAAATAAGTAGAACTCTTTCTAGGGCTGGAGAGATGGCTCAGCGGTTAAGAACACTGACTGTTCTTGCAGAAGACACTGGTTCGAACCTCAGTACCCACATGGCAGCTGACAACTGTCTGTAATTCCAGTTCCAGGGTATTGGACAGTCTCTTCTGTCCTCCTCAGGCACTGCACAACATGGGTACACTTACCTACATGCAGGCAATATACACATACACATAAAATAAAAATAAGTAAAATATTTTTTAAAAAGTCATTCTAAAGTGACCTGGTCAATAAAACCATGTCAAAAAGAATTAAAATAAAAAAACAAATTTCTCAGTAGCTACAACAGATAAAGTGAAAATATAGACTGACAGTGCATTAAAAAGCAAGTTGGGAAGAAAAAAAGGCACAAAAGTAGGAGACAGGGAGACTTGGGAAAAAGGGGTTCAGTGGAGTGGGATTAAGGAGGGGTATGGGAGTGAAAATGACCAAAATACATTATATACATATATGAAATTGTCAAAGACTAAAAAAATTAAAACTTAAAAAGTACTGATTTAAAAAAAGAGTACAGTTAAAAAAATACAACAAAACAAAAAGCGAACAAAAAGTTAGGAATATTAGTTAACAAATCTTGTTTCTGTTGATAAGGAAACCAGGAAAAGTGGCAGGAAAGGGATAGGACTGACTTTTCTAAAATGTAGTTAACAGACTGAAGGAGACTTGAAATTTGTTTCTAAATATTTTCAGTGCCTTCCAAGTTGAAAGAAGCTGAGCCTGTGAGGCCAGCCTGGTTCTGAGGTCTAGAAGAGCAGCAAAAGTAAAACCAGGCTTCTTGACGAAGTTAGAAAGCAGGCCTGGAGTTATGGGGTGGCAGGCAAAGTGTGTTCTACCCTCTGAAGATGAGGGGGTTTGGAAATACTCCATCTATTCCTTCAGGTACCTGTGTTTGATGTTTAGGAAGTATTCGGCCAGAGCCCAAAGTCACTCTGAGGTGAAAAAGAAAGGTGTGATTTATCCTTCAGCTGCGCTTCCTGATTCCAAATGAGCTACCTCTATTAAAACAAAACATTTTAGCAGCAGATAGAGGAGGAATACTGGCCGGAAGTCTGGCTCCCAGGATCCTTTGGACCTCCGGACCAAAGTGAAAGACATGTCCCAGATGGGCTCTTCAGCCCCTTGCTAAATTTCAAACCCCTCAGACACTGGAGTCTCTAGGAAAGTTTTCTGGGATGTCAAATCTGCCCACCTCTGCTTAGGACAGTTTTCCTTAGACTTGTAATTTGACTTCCAACCCCCAAAAGGGCCTGGGAAGAATCAAGGAAAGGGGAGAGATAACCTCCAAGAGGAAACCTCGTGGAGGTGTCCTCATTTTTCCTCTTTCTCCTTCCCTCCCTTCCTTCCTTCCCCCTCCTCCTTCCTCCTCTCTCTCTCTCTCCCTCTCCCTCCTCCTCTCCCCTCCCTCCCTCCCTCCCTCTCTCTCTCTCTCTCTCTCTCTCGTTTTGCTTTTTTAAGACCGGGACTCCCATAGCCCAGGGTGATCTCAAACTCGATGTGGAACTGAGTCCTGAACTTCAGATCCTCCTGCCTCTCCCTAGGGAGTGCTGCACCGCCATGCTCCTGTATGTGGATCCAACCAAGGGTGCATGCTAAGCAAGCCCTCTACCAGCTGAGCTACAGCCTCAGCCCTCCAGATCTTACTTTGGGGCCTTCTGCAGACTCATGGCAGTGACACTGTGCCCTAGAATCTGTCTCTTTCACATATATAGCAAAGAATATAAGAGGAACAAGGGAGAGGATGCTGGAGGTTTATAACAACATACGGATTACTTGTATCTGATTAAAAAAAAAAACCAGAACTGTACAACAATAGAGGAAATTTGGACACTGAATGGTGAGTGAACATTAAGGTTTCTTTTGTTTTCTTTCTTTTTTTGGCTTGCTGGGGTGGACCCCAGGGACTGGTATAGCTACAAAGTACTCTGAGCCTTGTGCATGCTAGATAAACGCTCTACCACTAAGTTTTATCCCAGTCCTATTTTTTAGCTTCATAACTATCTTGTGCTTTTAAAACAAGGCCTATCGTTTGGCGACACATCCCAGAACATTTTCTAACACGCTGAGACCAAGGTATCAGAGGTGAACAAGACTGGCACAGAACTGACACTTTGGTCTATATATGAAATTTCCCTACTAAAAAATTTAAAGAGTGTTGGTGACACATGTCAGTAATCCCAGCACTGGGGAGATAAAGGCGGAAGGATCAGGAACTCAAGGTCATTCTTAGCTACACAGCAAGTTTGAGGTCAGTGTGGGCTTCATGAGTTTAAAAATGAGGGCTGGGGGTTGGCGTGTAGCTGTCAGTAAAGTGCTCGCCCAGCATGCAGGAAGCCCTGGGTTCCATCCCCTGCACTGCAGAAAGAGGGCAAGGTGACACATGCTTGTCATCCTAGCATTTGGCAAGTTGGGGGGGGGTCGATCAGACGTTCAAGGTCATCCTCAGCTACATAGTGACTTCAAGACCAGCCTGGGCTACATGATAAAAAGAGAATAAAGTGACCAACCCTTATTTACTAATAAAAATGAGAACTGGCGCCTGACTGTTCGCCAACCACACTGGCTGGAGGGACCGGGCTGGCTGGGGACCCTCACCCCACGTGACCAGCTCCAAGACCTCTCCTCACCAACTACCCGCCCAGGAGTGGTCCAGCATTCACTTGCACGGTCTCCAAGCATCCAAGACACGGCCAAGCTACCAGGTCGACGGGGGTCACCCGGGGTACTCCGGCGGGCAAGGCTTGGGCTCCCACCGGGAGGGGCGGGGCCACCCGAGGAATGAGGGGGCGGGGTCCGCGCCCCACCTGGGCCCAGGTGTGCGGGGGGCGGGGCCGCGCGTCACCTTGAGGATGTTGTCGAAGATGGTGTCTCGGAACTCCAGCAGCGCCTTCTGATCGAACTCGCGGCCGTGGATGATGCGCATCTGCTTGAGGAAGGTGGACTTGCCGCTCTCCCCCGCGCCCAGGAGCAAGATCTTGACAAGCCGCCGCACTGCGCGGCGCTCGCGGGCCAGCAGCGCGTCGATGTCGCGGCT